CATTTGTACATTTGTTGCCATCATCATTCTCACAACATTTGCTTTCTACTTGAGCCCTTGGTATCAGCTAAAATGAGTTCTTTTCACATCTATTTATTAGTTTGTCCATATTTATTCCTAGGTTTATGTCTCCAATAAAAACCAAACCAAACTGAACCGAACCAAACCCCTGAATAATTTCTATTGTCCTTCCAAGTCATAGCAACCCAATGTAGAGTTTCGGAGACTGTAAATCTTTACGTGAACAAGCAGTCTCATCTTTCTGCCAGGAAGCAGTTGGTAGGTTTGATCCAGCAACCCTCACCTGTCACAGCACCACCAGGGCTCCCAAGGGCTGTATCTCCAGCAGCCAGAGTTGACGATTCATAGCGCATGGTCAGTCTTTAGGTTTGTAATGAGGAAGACCTGACCACATGGAAACGGAGCCTACCCATCTCACAATAGACTACTTGCGAACACCAGACCCATACGCACAATAAAGTAGAAGAATAAAAAAATCTAATCTACTTATATGCTAATGTATTACTGTAATAGCTACATACATATATACATCTACACAAATGCATATATTCTGACTCAAACCCCACCTTGCCTTTTGTCCCCACATCCAGGCACCTTTAAGAGTGTCCTCATTCATTTGATGACATTCATGTCCCTTCAACCCAGTGGGAAAGTCTCAACCCACTGTGTTTGGACTCGAGAGTCATTCTCTAACCATGTATTTAAAAAAGAAGAAGAAGAAATCGCCTTACATTCATTTGAAACAAAGCCAATTACTACTTTTTAAAAGCTACCTGCTTTCAATTAAGCAGGAAATTATCTAAGAAGCCACTTAATTTGCTTTGGTCTGTAGTCCCACAACCGCTTTATGCTGAGTGGAGCATGAAATTAAATATGTAACCACTATCCTGATCATTCTGTTCCAGAATGCCAACATGTTAGAATTATAGGTATTCTGAGTGTTTGACAGAACACACAAACATACAAATCAATAACGATGGGCTGGCTATATTGAGCTTGAGATAAAAATGTTCAATACATTTAGTAATGTCTCCCATATCTTTCCATTTTAAGCTGTTCGTTCTTTATCTCTCGTTAATTTATATGGACAAGAAAAATAGCATTATGTGCATGGAAATGTCTCTGAGATAACTAAAGTGATTCCCCCCCTATAGAAATTCTTACAGTATTTTCTTGGGTCCAAAGGGAAAGTAGATTATGTGAGAATATATTCAAGGAGAATGTCATCATGAATTTGTACCGTTTGTGAAGACATGCTAATACCAAGCGCCTTGTTTGAGGTATTCGTCTTTGTTTAGAGCCATGGAGACAGAGTTGGCCGTGGAGAAACTGTGTCTGCAGAAATACAAGAGCAGGAGTTTATGCAGCAACTGTTGGAAGCGTTACTAAAGTGACACTTCAAGCAGTACTTAAGATTGCAAATGCTAGATGGTTCTTAGAGCCTCTTATTTATTTAAAACCTTTTTTATAACTTTAAAACTTTTTATACTGCATAAACCCTTTCAAACACTAATCATATTATGAGTAAACATTTAAAAATGCCTCTCTGTATAAATGTAGCTAAATGCATCCTGTTCTTTTATAGTTGCTGTGCCCCAAGCCACCCCCCTCCTTTTACTAACACTTTCTACTTGTCTGACCAGGAAAATTTGACAAAAATCTGGTTGGATGTCTGTGTCTCCCAAGTATGAGAAAGCAAATGTGCGCTGTAAACTTTCCAGGGTTCGTCTGACTCTCACGCTTTAGCTGCTGAAGACCCCTCGTTCTAGTTCTTGGAACCATCGACATTGGACAGCACTGTTCACATACATGTTTCCCTTGCGGCAAACTGTGATCTACCAAAGTTCTCTGAGAAGTTGCAAGCAAAGACATGACGAGAGTTCGTGGGACTCTGGGTGTCTGTCCAGGGCCACAAGCTCCCCTCCTTCTGTGTTTGTTCCTCAGTTCTTGATGAGGGAAGAAAGGTCGTCCTGAACCACACACGTCAAGCCCTGACAGCACAATCGGTGTGATCTTGAGAGAGCTGCCTAACCTTTGGATCCAGCCAGTGAAAAGATGGGAACACTAGTCCGTGTGTGTGATGGGAGTCATGATAACTGTCTGTCATATATGCTTGATTTTTTGTTAGATGCCCTAGAGTCAGCTGCAACCCATGGCAACCTGCGTAGGACAGAATAAAACATTACCTGGGGTTATGCCATCTTTGTTGGGGTGCCCCAATTCATTGTTGGGGTCACTGCAATCTGAGTACCTTCCAACCCAGCGGGTTCCTCTCCTGGCACGCAATTGGACAGTCTTGGCTTGTGTGCCACAAGGTTTTCAGGGACTAATTTTTGGGAGTAGATCAACAGGCTTTTCTTCCAAGCCTCTCTTAGTCCAGAAGCTCCGCTGACCCCTGCGCAGTACGGTTGACCTGGCTGGAATTTGACGTAGCAGCCCCACACCTTCCAATAGCACAGCAACAGGCAAGCCACTGCTGCACAACAGACTGAGGGGTGGTCTCTCAGAATTAAAAAAAAAAAGAAGTCAAATTTGGGATGGCCAACTAGCCTGTTCTGACTCAAGCTATATCTACTAGAATGACCCAAGCCACAATGAAACAAAAGTGTTGCGGTCAAGTGGTTGCAACTCGAACGGCCCTATCCCAGGTTTCAGAGTCTGCCAATCTACGGAGCAGATGCAACGTCAGTTTCCCCTGTGGGGCCTCAGGGTTCAGGCTCAGCTGCCCAACAAGTCGCGGAGGATCACCAGGGAGGCTGAATTGCGATAAAGCAAGGAAGGGCCTGTTGGCAAGGACCTCATGCTCATCCTGTGTGACATCAATTAATCACTGGGTCTTCCCTCCTTCTCCAGCCTCTGTTCTGCTGCGGCGGGCACCGTGGCGAGTATTTTGTATCTGCTGGTAGGTTTAATCCTCGCAACAGCCTGCTAGGTCAGGTCCCCTTATTATTCTACTTTACAGCCGAGGAAATTGGAACACAGAGGCGGATGATAGCTTCCTCACTATTTCAGGCAGAAAGAAAGAGATAAAGGTGGTATTTTGAGTCCAGGAGGGCCTTTTCCCCTGAATTTCAGCCAAACATGTTTACCCTAAGAGAACTTTACATTACTCTGGGTCTGTAAAATGTGTATCCACTTTAACCTTGTGTGTTTGGACCTAGAGCGATAGCGTCCAAGTGAAGGATGAGGCTAATAGTCCCACAGTCCTTTCTCAGACATTGACTTTCAGGGGCCAGTGTGGTGGGCATAGACTTTGCCCAGAAGATGCAAATCCCTGCTGTCATCAG